GTGTCTGACGTAACAATCCCGTGCCAATAAGTAAATGAAAAAAGCACGGGTTGTCACATAAGACCCGTGCAATAATCAATATTATATAACAGATAATTTATAAAGCGTTATAACTTAGAAACTGAAATAAAATAAATTATTATTATTTTTTTTAAATAATTTATAGTTATTTAAGTTTAAAGTTTAAATTTATCTATCATCTAAAGTGAGATTTTACTTCCAAAACTTTGCTTACAGAATCACCTTTGAAGCTCTAATAAAAACTTCTTGTACAATTTTATACATATACTGTCTAACTTTAACTATGCTATGTTTTAAAAAAGTAGGTAAAAAATTCACCTAGATTTATATAATGTATTCGTTAATACATTATATACGTATTAATCAATCAAAGAGTTTATAACCGATTTATTTTTCACATGTTAAACTCTTTTACAAATGACTAACACTAAGAAATTAACCCGAATTGATCAACCAATCAAAATCTGTGATTCGCAATTTCAAGTTTATCTATAATATGGTTGTTAATGGAGTGCTCCAGTCAATAATAAAACATATAACCCACTACGGATCACTCCAGAAACGGGTTATATGTTTTATTATAGTCCGGAGTACTCCAGTAACGACCCTCCGAAGCATTGTTACACGAGATTTTTATTAAGAAAAACATAGTAAATCTATTTTTAGAAAAAAAATTCATAGCAAAGACCCCAATCATTTAATTCAGCCAGCATTAAAATAATTCTGGCGCATGACCAACGTAATTCGGCTCGGAATTATGAAAAATTTTTGGGCAGTTACCGTAAAAGTGCATAAATAAGACCCACCGTGAATCAGACCCGGGCTATAATATAGATAAAAATTTTGGTAAAATGAAACAGACCCGGGTAGATTATAGGAAACAATGATTGAAAGACCCAGGTATGATATTAGAACATATAATATATATTATATAATTCAATAAGTGGTTATTTCTCCCACATAAAAGTCTTCCCGATTATCAGACAAATGTCTATACAACAGACCCCCAGGTCTATTAAAGGTTTTAAAATTGGTGGAATGTACCTGGTCTGGGTCTTGTATATGCACTTTTACGGTAAACGGTTCCCAATACTTAGCTAGGATGTGATGTACAGATTAATCTTCTAAATAAAATAAATGTTTATTCAATTGAGTGTTACTTTTGACCCCTATTGTACAATATATATATATATACATATATATATATTTTATTATAAAGCTTTGTTATTAAACTGTTATATGTAATAATTATATTTTTATCCTTTTAGAATTATCTGTATTAATACTTTTTAAGCCGATCATTTAATATAAATAATATGATATGGGTACGTGTACGTGTATAAGTCAAAAAAAATATTAGTGATCAAGAATCCTGTAATAATAAATAACATTTAATACTTAATTACAATAAAATCCAAAATTGCTCAATTAAAATGTTGAAAGCATTACCTCAAGTTTCCACTTACGACCTTATTCTCGAGCACAGAGTTTGGTGGAATATCGATTCTAGCGCCATGATTCGCGACAATAATGACAGTTCCTTTAAGTTGTACACCAGCACCAAATGTTACATCACCAGTAACTGTGAGATGATCTAATTCGAGGATATGAGGCGGTGACTGAAATCGGGCTAAAAAGTTTGAAACCTACGATAATAAACGTTAATTAAAGTGATGATATTCGGTATTTGACATATAAATGAATATGCAAATTTATTAACCTTCTTAAACTCATCACCTAACTTCACCAGCGGTACCGTTTGAAAGAGTCGTTTAGGGTTCATTGTTAATTCACCATGGTTGAGCGAGTATAAATCAGAAGTTACAAGAAATAGATCGGAGGTAGATTTAACAGGTAAGAAACGACTTCGTGGTACGTTTACACCATGAGCGTTTTTAAAATGCTTGATAGCAGAACCAACAGCAGTTTCGAGTTGAATTACTTTTACACCAGATTCAAGTGTTTTGTTGTTAACAATGACTTCCAAGTTAAGCTCCTTTTCTTCAGTAACGCGTTTTATAGCTTTCAAACTGATCCACAAATTATTAGTATTAAAGATTCTAAATTTTTTGATTGACTTAAAGTCTTCAATATGTTCCGCAGGAACTTGTGCTACTTCCAGTAATCGAACGGTACCCTCGTAGTCAATAAGCGTACCACCTTTAATATCAGCTTTTGTTTTGTCAGTAACTTCCATTATGAATTCAGAGTCATTATCCACCATGTACTTAAGAATATTTAGGTCAACTACAGCACCGAGATTGTCAACATTGGAAATAAAAATATATTCTTTTCCTTCAGCAATTAACCGATCTAATATTCCAGAGTTAAGCATGGATTCAAACACGTCACCATGGCCAGGAGGGTACCTATTCACATTAATTATATATCTCTTAGAATTCTTAGAATGTCAACCAATAATAATTTAATAGCATCATACGCGCTTATATATAATTCAGTAAATTACCATTGACTGATATCACTAGTTGGTGTTCGAGGCATTGGCAATAGAGACTCCTTGTTAATCCTAGGGTAACGCGACTGATTAAATGTAAGAATATCAATCTTATGACTTCCATATTTTTGGACGATGCGCATGGTATCATCATCAGTATTAAATGAGTTCATAAGTATAAATGGAACGTTAACGTCGAATTTTTTATTAAGGTACTAAGTGGCATAAACAACAATAATAACAAGTTAGAAATAATGACAGATAATATTTAATAAGCGATAATAACTTATGAATTCATACCTCAATTTGCCTGACACTTAAATCTAGAAACGTCATACCATCTCTAACCTCAATGGCGCTTTTTGGACCTACACAACCCATGGTTGTTCCCAGACCACCATTAAGTTTGAGAACAGCCAATTTGTTTAGAAGTTCAGGATTATCACAAGCGGGAAGATCTTTATATGGAATAATTTGTTCGGGGCTCGGTTCTTTAACTTTATCCCAATCCCTTTGAATAAAAATAAAGGTCATTACGTATTTTTTTACAAAAGTCGAAAAGAACATACAACACTTACAATTTTGTGCCTTTGGATTTTTCGCTCAAATATCGGGTGAACAACGAATAAAAATGATCCATTTCATTTTGAAAAATCTTAATAATTTGATTATAAAAAGTTAAAATCTGATTTTTTAAAAAAAAGGTAAATACCAAGTGTATAATACTTACTCTACGAGCCTTCACGTCTGGGATCGCGTTAGCGAGTCTGCCTAGTTCTGAACGCATAGCCTTGGCAGCAACTCCAGAGCTTGCGCTTTGAAAGTCCTTTTAGAAAAGATAAAACTTGAATACGTAATCAATAAATGAGTAACGCGTTCAAATACATGCTTACCATGGCCGACAATGTGTGGGGATGGTGACGCCCCGAGTTTGTTGCAGCGTTAGATGGTGTCGTAGACATAATTTAAAAACTTTATTTAAAAATTGGGTAGATAAAGTAAAATAATTCGTTAAAAAGAATACTCTTATTTCAGATATTATCGTTACAAATGCGAATTCCAAATTGCTGTCTTATATATATATATACGTTATTATATCATAATAACGTCACTATCGGCTTATCCTGCTTTGATTGTCTATTTTAAATATGTAATATTAGATTACCAACCAACTGGCTGATCTGGTTACAACGTTGCGAGTATGTCTTTTAAACCGAAGTCGAAAATTTATTAGTTGATGTTAAATGCATATTTGGATCATTCACATGATTTTCAGAATAGGCAGCGCTAACTCAAAGAAAGACTTTCATATGATTGGCTGTTTAAATCAATTTAGTTTACATTTTTTATACAGTTTAAAGTACAAAGAATTAAAGTTTTTACTGTACGTATTAGAGTTGT